TACCATTCAACGTAACTATCCCCTACATATAATTCAACGTAACTACCCCCTATATACCATTCAACGTAACTATCCCCTACATATAATTCAACGTAACTACCCCCTATATACCATTCAACGTAACTATCCCCTACATACATTTCAACGTAACTATCCCCTACATACAATTCAACGTAGCTATCCCCTACATATAATTCAACGTAACTACCCCCTATATACCATTCAACGTAAATATCCCCTACCTACATTTCAACGTAACTATCCCCTACATACAATTCAACGTAACTATCCCCTACATACAATTCAACATTACTATCCCCTACATACAATTCAATGTAGCTATCCCCTACATACCATTCAACGTAACTATCCCCTACATACTATTCAACGTAACTATCCCCTACATACCATTCAATGGAACTATCCCCTACATATCATTCAACGTAACTATCCCCTACATACCATTCAATGTAACTATCCCCTACATACCATTCAATGTAACTATCGCCTACATACCATTCAATGTAACTATCCCCTACATACCATTCAACGTAAGTACCCCAATATCATTTATGTAAGTACTAACTACATATCATTCACCGAAAGTTTTAACTTCATCCCATTTAGTGTAAGAACTACCAATATGTCATTCAACGTAACTAATCTACATGTGCAACCATTCAACGTAACCATTCCTATATACCATTCAACGTAACCATCCCTATATACCATTCAACGTAACCATCCCTTTATACCATTCAACGTAACCATCCCTATATACCATTCAACGCAACCATCCCTATATACCATTCAACGTAACCATCCCTATATACCATTCAACGTAACCATCCCTTTATACCATTCAACGTAATCATCCCTTTATACCATTAAACGTAATCATCCCTATATACCATTCATCGTAACCATCCCTATATACCATTCAACGTAGCCTTTCTTATATACCATTCAACGTAACCATTCGTATACACCATTCAACGTAACCATCCCTATATACCATTCAACGTTACCATCCCTATATACCATTCAACGTAACCATCCCTATATACCATTCAACGCGAGTACTTCCAATATATGATTCAACGTAAGTACCCCAACATACCATTCAACGTGAGTACGAATCAACGTCAACGTTAATATTCCCTACAAACCTTTCAGCGGAAATAATCCCTACATACCATTCAATGTAAATATTCCCGAAATACCATTTAACGTAATTATTTCGTAAATACGGTTCAATGTTAAAGTTTGATATACATGATGCAACCTAAGTACTCCCTGTAAGTGCAAATTAACGTGATTATCGATAAATACCAGTAAAAACATAAGTACTTTATATATACTATTCAAACTAAGTACTCATTTAATATTTTTAATGAAATTATACTTTAGTTATTTGACATGCAATGCATAGGTATCTAATTGTTAGACTCCATAGATCGATTGAACACTTCACATTTTAACGCTTATTCGAAACACATTGACAATATGAAAGCTATTCGCCTGATGTGTTAAGGTGAAGCTTATTTATTTAAACGAGAAAGAGCGCAGATATTACAAAAAACGGAAATATTTACATCGACAAGAACGTCATAGCACCTGTCTGTACATAAGTAGACAGGTTCGTGAGGATCCAACCCAGATGCTAAATTACTTGAATACATATACACTGTGTAAATTACTGAAGATAGGGAGGGCCCACTCAAATTGAGCGGTTTTGCGGTAGAGTTAAATAATTGGATACGAGGAAGAAGCAAATTTCCTTCCATCATGAAAACTAATTAACACCGTTCAACATGTAAACTAATGTATTTCAAGAGGTTGTTTGAGAGTGAACATATTTTATAACGCATGCAGTGTTATGTAAACTCCGTACAGAAAGTGAAACAGTATTTTTATTCAAGATGGGAATAATTGATATTTAGTGAAAAAAATAATAACCAGTTGATATGAGCAAGTGCGATGACAAGTGATAATTCGAAAACTCACGCGTTCTTGATATCTTATTACGTCATAAATATTATATACATTTTTTAACATTTCCTAATTGTCATTTTTCAAATGCCACTTTTAAACGTAAGATTTAAAATCTTGTTGTCAGGTCCTATTCCTATTTACCTGTGTATTAGTTATATATGACAAATGAAATAAAATATTGTTTAAACCAAATGCCACTTTTCAAAGTTTTCCAAAATGGTCGAATCATTCTTATTGTAAACTTACATAATCAGTGGCTTTAAGTTACTGGCCGTAAACTAGAACTTCATTAACAAAACGGCACATATATCAACAGTATTTTAACTGACACGTATATAAACAATATATAATATATACAACTTACATAACATATCTATATATATATAGCACATACTGTATATATATACCAAGGTAGAAGCAATATAAATGATACATCATATATAGCAAATATGAGATGTTTACTGTGACCATCTTTATTTTAGTGTATACCTATAGTACTAGTATATCAAAAGTAATACATTTGTTTATACAGTTAAATACAGTAAAATATCGATATAATGCCTCTTGTTTCATTTGCCACCTCGCTTACCGCCAATATATTTAACGATCTATTGTTCTTTTATTCCTCATAAAAATGTTTCCCTCATTTTATCGCCAAACCCCTTTATAACGCCATTTTCTAGACCAAATGTTGGCAGTATAACGAGGATATGATCTGTCTTTCTGGTACACCAAGTAACGTCTTCTTTATCACCGAGGGAAGAGTTTGACAGGAACAGGTTTAGAAGAAGAATAAAACAAGATTTACGAGGAGAATGAAGAATCCTGTTTACAGAACAGAACTCGGTGTATGATGATAGATGTACTGGATTACCCTTGTTTGATAGAGATAAGACGACCGTTCTGACCTTGCCGTATAACGATGCCGTATAATTGCCTGTTTTGATCGAACCTTGACGTGAAATATTGAAATATAATCGTCATCAAAAACAAAACACTGAGGGAAATTGGCCTATTGTCTGTGGCGAACTGGTCATATTAGCGCACTCCTTCACCTCAGCATGGCCTGTTGAGTTTATTTTTTTTAAACAAAAAATGTTATAGCCAATTCTTAGATATATTTCAATTATATAATTGTATTGGGAGAAAGTTTTTTGGAAGTTTTATTGACCTTGAATATTGGCGCTTACCTACGTGTTAAAATATTAGCTGTTCGTTATCTATAACCAGGTGATATCAGGTGATTGTTATAGACAGGTGTTATCAGGTAATTGTTATAGACAGATGATATCAGGTGATTGTTATAGACAGGTGTTATCAGGTGATTGTTATAACCAGGTGATATCAGGTGATTGTTATAGACAGATGATATCATGTGATTGTTACAGACAGGTGTTATCAGGTGATTGTTATAACCAGGTGATATCAGGTGATTGTTATAACCAGGTGATATCAGGTGATTGTTATAACCAGGTGATATCAGGTGATTGTTATAAACAGGTGATATCGGATGATTGATACAGACAGGTGATAAGTATAGACAGGTGATGAGTATAGACAGGTGATTGTTATAGACAGGTGATACGTATAGACAGGTGATTGTTATAGACAAGTGATACGTATAGACAGGTGATAAGTATAAACAGGTGATAAGTATAGACAGGTGATTGTTAAAGACGATAAATAGCTATAGACTGGTAGTAGTTATAGACAGGTGATCGTTATAGACAGGTAGCAGTTATAGACAGGTGGTAGTTATATACAGATGATTGTTATAGACAGATGATGGTTATAGACAGATGATCGTTATAGAAAGGTTATATTTACAGACAGGTGAATGTCATGGACAGGTACTATTTATAGACGGGTGATTTATATAGACAAGTGATTGTTAAAGACAGTAGATCGCTAAAGACAGGTGCTTGTTATAGACAAATGATCGTTATAGACAGGTGATCGTTATAGACAGGTGATTGACATAGACAGGTTAAACAGGTGTTTTCATAAGACATTAGATAGCTATAGACAGATGATTGTTATAGACAGATGATTATCAAGACAGTTGATAGTTAAAGAGAAGTAGTACCTCAGACAATTGTTTCTTCTTCTTTTAAATTCAATATATTAAAATGAGCTCAGTCTTAGTTGAAACTCGGCCGTGGTTTAGAGCTAGCCAGTTTGTTTCGTACCTGGCCTGGCGTATCTACCAAGCCCAAAGTTAATCTGTGCCAAGAGGAACATCTGTTCGACAGGTTATACCGATCATACTACAGGTGTAGCGCCTTATTTTTGATAATCAACCCCACTTACCATCTTAATATCATCGATATTGCCAACTTCCGGCTATACACGTCATCATCACCAATACGTCAAACTTGATTCCGTGTTTCATACTACCCGTACGTGGCTATCATAATTAAATGTGCTATGCGTATATACATGTCTTTTTAAAGCATCTTCTTTGTATTTGCAGGTAAATATCATAGTGAACCAGGTGACGGGGGTTACCAACCATCGAGTGGACCTCATGGTTCTCCGTTTACTCGCAATTAACCAGATCCTTGATCCGTGGCTATATATCTTACTGCGCAGAGCTCAACTATTGAAAATCCTAAACAACATAAAATTAAAAATCTGTTACGCTTGCGGCGGAGGATCAGGTAGTTTTATACCCTCAAAGCAATATGAATACCCGCACGATAAAACAGATGCAGAAATGGGCAAAAGCTATGCTCTGAAATCAGTGATGGGTGAAGTTGACACTCAAGTGCACCCTATCGAAAACGGAAGTGACTCTTCCGGAAGTAGAGACAGTCTGGGGAGTACATCGAACCTGATTCAGGAATGTGAGCTAGAACCGAGGCCACATCGTAAATATATGCGGTCAATTTCGGCCGACAACAGTCATCCACTGAGTGGACCCAGTTTAATTAATGACAGTGATTCCGATGTCTTTCGAGAAGAAATGGCGTGCTTCAGGACTTTGTTTGGTTCGGACAAACGGAAAAAGCAAACACCATCTAGGCGATTATCTGTGGAACATTCGATAGAACGAACTCCGCGGACAAAACGGCTGTACAGTCTCCCGAACAATATAGATATCCTCAGACGGGAGGCACTGCTATAACGTCAAAAGTGCTAACATAATATGTGAGATAGATATTACAGTATTTACATTCTGAAGCAGACTTCGACATTCATTTGCCGAATCTATTAAATGCATTTGAATTGTCCAAGACCTGTTTTCCTTTGACAAGACACAAGCCGTTACGTCACCATCTGTTTTCTCTGAACGGAATATGGAGACTAGTGTTTTGTGTTGGGTTTTTTTACATAAATTTGAAAACTGTTTTTAAGTAAACTTGATGGTTGTTTTCATGTTGTCCTTGTGATTTAATGTGAACCTAACAGTTATCAAATTTAAGTAAACCGACTTTTGTTTCATTTAGTAAATCCGACATTTGTTCGTTAATTAAGTTATTTGCTGGTTGCTGGAATTAGCAGATGTTTTTTTTTTTTTATGTGCGAACGAATGTTACACAATAACTATGAGAACCATATCACGTAGCCAGACCTAGTGTCACTTTACCAAATGTATTAACGATGCTAGGGATGAAATTTCGTCAAATATCTAGAACGAATGATTTTAAATGACCGACATAGTGCTACGTTCCTGCAGTTGTCAAACGTCAAAGAGATTCGGAGAGAAACGAGGGAGCGATAGATAGTTGTATGGCTTGTAGTAACTATTAGCTGTCTATGTTTATGTGATATGTTCCCCTAGTTACGCTAAGTATTCTTGTTTCGTAATTGTAAAATTATTATCTGTTGTTAAATAAATTTGTTGTTTTCTATTTTTTAATTTGACTTTTTTTTTCTAAAATGTTCAAGCTAAGTTCCACGACAAGCAGAACTTGCACAAATTTAATTCAGATCCTGGAAGCATAAATTGTTTTCAAATTTTCAGCAAATTGTGTGCATGTTTGTTTGATAACGCACAGTTAAACGAGGTCATATGTACCTTAATTCTGATTGGTTGTCGCTTTCCGGACGATATTTTTCCTATAAGCGTACAGGTTTTTTTCAAAGTTGGTTTTTGCTTGTAATATGCTATAAATGTTTAGGAAAAGATTTAGGATGGACGGAATCTGTGTGATGTAATGAAATGTAGGGATTTCCTCAACTCTGATTGGTGGATACTTTGCGGACATACATGTGGTTAGATAAGAAACGAGCTCAGCAAAAAGACTGGGATATCATGTTTGTTTATTTTCATTATTTCTTCGATAAACATACGCCATATGTTGTTAAAGATTCATCAGCATTGCCAAAAGAAATTGTATTTAAATCTGGAATCCCAAACAACTGCCGATATCGAAAGGTCTGATAAACCAATGCTCTGATAGAGTGCATACGATTCGTCAATATTCAACAAATTACATTGAACCAATCAACAGGACTCTTTTTTTTTTACCTCCATGGTTTAATTTGGTTTCGGTTTACGTCCTATTAACAGATATGGTCATTTAAGGATATATGCCAGGTGTTGGTGGTGGATAAAAGCCCAATCAGTTTGATGAAAGCCGGAGTACCCAGAGAAGAAAAATCACCAACCTGCGGCCTACACCTTCCCCACGAAGGCCTCGAACCCGTGACCCAGTGATGGTGGGCTAGGCGGTCAGCCGCCTTAACCACTCGTCCCTCTCCCCTCTTCCTCAGTTGATTAAAAATCAAACAAATAGCAGATTAAGGAACCTCCACATAAATACAAATAACGCAGCAACTTTATTTGTCAAATTTCGCCGCAGACATGCTCCATTTTGAAGATTGTTCTAATACTTACTACATATAGAGGCGACAAAAATCTACACAATGATAAACTGAAAGCCAGATATGCTGAAGTTTACATGAATTTAGATTGCAAAGTTCTGAGAAGTAAGTTATTGCCACAAATCTACTCATGCAATATAACCGATATCTGTACAGGAAGTTACATGCGACCCGGTCATCTTGTTTTTTATTTTCTTTGCTATTTTAAATCTTTGTGATAAACGTCAGGTCTTTCGTGGCTTCAAACTTCGTGGCTTCCAACAACAAAAGCAATATAAACGAATAAAATAGACAATCTGATCTATACTTAAGCATTGAACTGTTTTTGTATGGTATTTATGATCTATTTGAATGACACAGCTTTGCAAGCAAACAACATAATGCGCGCTAGCGCATTATGATTTGTTTGCTTGCAAAGCTGTGTCATTTAAATAGATCATAAATATCATACAAAAACAGTTTAATACTTATATTTACGTTTTCTCTGCCTCTTATGTTCTTTTTTAACATATAATTTATAATTAAAATTAAAAATGCCCGCCTTATCGACAGTCCACACAATTTCGTTCAATAGTTTGAACAGCGTATTGTCGCGTGCTGATTGGCAAACAAAGTAGTACTTTGACATTTTAACAAACACTTCAATTTTATTCCACAATTCAGTATCAATACAGATGCGTTTGATATGTTTATAGGGTGATTTAAGTTTATCAATAGAAATCTGAGCTGAAAGTTAGATTTGAAATTGTTTCGATTTTTCCCCGGAACAAATTTCGCGCATGGATAAATACAGTGAACACCGTGAATCCGACCTTGACCTCCACGAGGGAGTTATTTTTGGAAGTTAATTTGAACTTTCTCTTTGCTCATTTTGTAAAGAATCCAGACGCGAATTTATGTGTTGATTGTATGGGAATCTGACTACAGTCGGTAAATTCTATAACACCCTCGTTATTTGACATGTCGCCAGAACCTCAAGAAAACGTTGGCTGCGAGACGCGTGAAACTGATATCGTTTGAACGAAGTGAGTAATCTTGCGACGGAGCAGAGGCCGGGGTTCGTTACAAATGTCTTAAATGTTTATGTGTGCTGTGACTCATATCAGTAGGTCTGTAACTTATGTGTCAGTTGGTCTATATATTATGTGTATTTCCCTATATTTGTAACGAACCCCTGTTAATCAGTGCAGTGTAACAGACGATGTTTCTAATAAATTGGACGAGTGTTAAAATTGTTTCCATTGCCGGCATTGGTAATTTCAACCGATGTGCATTTTATACGATATTGCAGACAGACATTGGTCAAGTTTTTCTTGTAATAAAAGTATTTTTATTTCTTTTTTTCATTTTTGCACATAAATTTACAATGACATTGTCAAGTCTCACAATGCCCAGCGATATTTCAGCAGCCATCATGTTTATTTACATGGGATATTGTAGTTCCGGTCAGTGTTGTAATTAAACGGGTTCAAAACGATGGAACAGTATACATGTATAATATCAAAAGTGTAAGAAGTTCGGCGGAGAACACTTCTAAAAACTTGTATGTTCAGGAGGTAGAAATATATTTTGTAAAAAAATGACACAAAGAATGTCAGAAATGATAAACGAAGAAAACGGATATAGTCTTTTCGTTGTACAAGTCAACTTAGAAATGATGGAAACAGGCTAAGAAATTATTACCAATGTAAGTTAATACACACATTTGAAACTTAGGTAATTATAATCTACCAAGGACAAGGCGGAGTGCCAAGGTCAAATAAAGACGCCGAGTCGTCCTTTTCGCCTAAAAACTCGACGATATGAAATTACCTTTGTAACAAAGGTTACATACATGTTTTTACAACCAGATTGGGGATAAGTTACACTTGATTCCATCATGTCCGATCTAATACGATACCGTTAAGGGATGTACCGTAGAGTGTTGATATTTGACATATATTTATCACTAGTTTATTGATTTCTATCACTTAATATATGACGAGAAAATAAATTCCGTTCTGTGTTATCAACCTTGTGCCAAAAACTTTCTGATGTTTTAATAAAACACGTTCGTCTAATGTACACAAGATAGATACCAAATGTAAATATTACGACGTGTTTACACGTGAATCAATGGTTTGATAATATGGCCAATATACGTTGGCATGTGTCCGCTGTTGAACATCATACACAATCGCAACATTTTGTAGTGTGGAACCAAACAATACTTCCGATTTCAACTTATTTCAAAATAACATATCGTTATAAATACAAACATTGTCAAAAAGAATATCATTGTTGTTTCCATTCCAGCTAATATTTTACTAAAATATCGTTTCATTTAAGTCATATGGTCCTGTTTTTAATGTTGGCATAACAAAAATCGCGCTATTTTGTTGCTATATTTTACCTGTACCCGCATACTACTACGGAACACATTCGTACAAAATGTCGGGTAAAGGTAGGGGGGGATGTGTTCCCTTTTCTATATTTTGTATACATGAACTAGAGTGTTTTCTATTACGATAGTGTTTATAAAGAAACACAAACGATAACCTGATACAGTCTAAAACACATTAAATGTAGTGTATTGCAATTTCTAGTAGATGATGCTGTTTCAGGAAACACTTATTGTACTCGACTGGAGCATGGTGGAGCAAGTATACAAACAGTAGAGAGTATATCTCTAAAGCCGTAAACGAAAGCTAAATGTAAATGTAAATACCCCACCCCCACCACCCATTTTTATTGTGTTTGGTGTTTTTACGAAACTTTGTTTAATACAAGTCAAAAGACTCCGACCAATTGAATTATAATTATATTATAATATAAATAGATAAATAAAACAACTCTTTGCCGAATGTAACAGTTTTAAAACAAAGTTAAACCCAAATTTAAATGATCCATTTATCAAAACAAAAAGTTTCTAAGATAGCATTGAAATTCTTCGACAGGGAAAAAGCCACGACTAGCAGAAGCGATAGAAGGAAGAACAGGTTACGCCCCGTGTGCAAACACCGGTGTTGGAGGTTGATATCCTACCCTATGATTGTCAGAAAAAGATAGTGGTTATTTTAAATGGACAAAGATTTAAACCAAATTACTACACTGTAAACCATAAACAAATGCAAAATTTATAAGGTAACCTAAATTTTCAGTGCCTCTAAAGAAAGTCTCGAATCGAAACAAATGTAAACATATTGTCCTCCTTGCACAATAACAAAAAACCATTCACAAATCGTAACATACTTGAAATTCAACTCATCACATTATGATGCTGAAGGATTTCAGAAATGTAGCCAAATAAACTTTGAAGCTGGTATACGTCTCTCTGAGCTATCTGGTCAGACCCTGCTTGCTGTACATGTAGTGTGTTACTGAGTGATCGGGATGAAGACTAAAGTATAGATCGGGATAGACAAGACATACATTACTATGTAGGGAGTCTGTACAAAAACCTGGTCTCCGATAAGACAACACGTTGAAAGTAGAACCGAGTTATGTGGTAAACAGATGTTGGACGGTCGTACATGAGTAGACTGGCTACCAGCCCCCAAGTTTTTACGAAGAATTTCTCGACTTCATATTACTACATGCTTATCTCTCACTTTACTTTAGAACTCTAGAATCAGACATCCAAGTGATCAAAATTATTAGAGTTATATTTTTCTTCTTAATAATTCAATATTCTAAAGGCCGGGGCCAGTCTAGTATACGAGACTCGTATGCGTTATGTCAGTGAATCAGCGGTGCGAAACAGTTGTAAAGATTTGAAAGATGAAACAAAGGAATGTGCAAAAATATCCCGGAAGTGAAACGGTCGTAGTGATGACATATCATGCCATAATATCTAAAATTAGATTTGAGTTTGATGGCGATGGAGTGCATTGCACCTTGTTGAAAGTAGCGACTTTCCAATGTACATCTCTCAAGCTGTTGTTTCTTTTATTTCTTTTTCCCTAGACGCTGTTTTTTATATGACAATCATAGGCAATATGATAGCCAGACTTATAAAGAGTTGCCTGAATTGCACTTGTTCAAT